GTTAGTGAAAAGGCCAGACTTCAGGGGTATCTGAGGCAGGCTTGAAACACAAGAGTCAGGGTGGCTTCTGGGTAATACCAGATGGCTAGGCCTTAGACTGACGAAGCCTCTTGGATGAGGGGCGAAACGTTTCTTTTTTAACAAAAAAACGAAGTCCAGATGACATGATTCAACCTTTTTTGTTGCTATTGAATAGTAGTGAGTTTTTAAACGGGACTTGAAAACCGAGAGGGAGGGGGCCTGTCTGACAAGCAGAGGTAACTGGCATGGAGTCCATTAGTCTGTGGCACTGCTCAGGAGTTATGAGAGTCCAGGTTGCTCTGATAGTGGCCTTCAGCTCTTCTGAATTGTTGGGTCTGGTGTATCGCATCTTCCTCTTCACAATACCTCATAGATTTTCTATGGGGTTAAAGTCAGTCAAGTTTGCTGGCCAATTAAGAACAGGGATACCACGGTCCTTAAACCAAGTACTGGTAGCTTTGGCACTATGTGCAGGTGCCAAGTCCTGTTGGAAAATTAAATCTGCATCTCCATAGAGTTGGTCAGCAGCAGGAAGAATGAAGTGCTCAAAAACTTCCTGGTAGACAGCTGCGTTGACCTTGGACCTCAGAAAACACAAGTGGACCAACACCAGTAGATGACATGGCCCCAAACCATCACTGACTCTAGAAACTTGACACTGGACCTCAAGCAACGTGGATTCTGTGCCTCTTCTCTCTTCCTCCAGACTCTGGGACCTTGATTTCCAAAGGAAATGTAAAATTTACTTTCATCAGAGAACATAACTTTGGACCACTCAGCTGCAGTCTCAGGCGAGACGCTTCTGATGCTGTCTCTTGTTCAAGAGTGGCTTGACACAAAGAATGTGACAGCTGAAACCCAAGTCTTGCATACATCTGTGCATGGTGGTTCTTGAAGCACTGACTCCAGCTGCAGTCCTCTCTTTGTGAATCTCACCCACGTTTTGGAATAGGTTTCATTTCACAATCCTCTCCAGGGTGCAGTTATCCCTACTGCGTGTACACTTTTTTTCTACCATATTGTTTCCTTTCCTTCGCCTCTCTATTAATGTGCTTGGACACAGAGCTCTGTGAACAGCCAGCCTCTTTAGCAATGATTTTTTGTGTCTTGCCCTCCTTGTGCAAGGTGTCAATAGTCGTCTTTTGGACAACTGTCACGTCAGCAGGCTTCCCCTTGATTGTGTAGCCTACAGAACTAGACTGAGCCATTTAAAGGCTTTTGCAAGTGTTTTGAGTTAATTAGCTGATTAGACTGTGGCCCTAGGTGCCTTCACTATTGAACCTTTTCATAATATTCTAATTTTCTGAGATATTGAATTTGGGGTTTTCATTAGTTGTCAGTTACACTGCCTGGCCAAATAAAAGTCAACACCAAAAAAAAGGTCACACACTAATATTTTGTTGGACCACCTTTAGCTTTGATTACGTCATGCATTCTCTGTGATATTGTTTCGATAAGCTTCTGCAATGTCACAAGATCTATTTCCATCCAGTGTTGCATTAATTTTTCACCAATATCTTGCATTGATGACTAGGGACTAGGCATGATGGGTGCATCACTTTACCTGCCTCTCTTCTTACCCTGATGCGCCCATCACTCTGGAACAGGGTAAATCTGGACTCATCAGACCACATGACCTTCTTCCATTGCTCCAGAGTCCAATCTTTATGCTCCCTAGAAAAATTAAGCCTTTTTGTCCAGTTAGCCTCACTGATTAGTGGTTTTCTTAAGGCTTCACAGCTGTTCAGTCCCAATTCCCTGAGTTCCCTTCACATTGTGCGTGTGTAAATGTTCTTACTTTCACTATTAAACACAGCCCTGAGTGCTACTGTTGTTTTTCTTCTATTTGATTTCATCAAACGTTTAAGTGATCACCGATCACGATCATTCAGGATTTTTTTCTGGCCACATTTCTTCCTCGAAGACGATGGGTCCCCACTTTCCTTCCAGTTTTTAACAATGCATTGGACAGTTCTTAACTCAATTTTAGTGGTTTCTGCAATCTCCTTAGATGTTTTCTCTGCTTGATGCCAGTGATTTGACCCTTCTCCAACAGACTGACATCTTTTCCACAACCACAATGTGTCTTTCACCATGGTTGTTTAAGAAATGAGAAGCAACTCATTGCACCAGTTGGGATTAAATAAGTTGTTGCCAGCTGAAAGATAATCGCCCATGCAGTAATTATCCAATAGGAGGCTCGTACCCATTTGCTTAGTGATTGCGCAAGGTTTTTGATTGAAACTGTGATAGGTAAGATGGCAGGTGATATACATTATTTTAAGGAGTTTCATTCATGATTGTTCAGTGTTTTGCATAGTTGTATTTTTGTATTTTCTTGTGGCTGCAGCAACAATCACTGACAAGTGTCCAGATCTGTTTCAGAAGGCCTGCAATGGATTCCAAAAGACAGAAATATATTTTTTACAATACTCATCTACAGGAGAGTGGTGGCACAGAGAAGAGGAGTGTTGATGCAGAGGTTAGAGAAGGTGGGCCTGTGATCGGAAGGCCACCGGTTCAACTCCCCGTACTGACAACATCAAAATGTGGGTGGGAAAGGCGAAACACCCACACCTGCCTCCACTCTGGGCCCTTGAGCAAGACTCCAAATCCCCACCATCTGCTTCCCCGGACACCCTAGATAGCAACTCTTTGCATCACACAGAGGGCTGTGGTAGCTTAGTAGTCTGTGGTTGCGTCGGGAAGGGCATCTGGCGTAAAAACAATTGCAAGTTTTTGTACAATTTAGTTCGCTGTGGCGACCCCTGAAGGGAGTAGCTGAAAAAAAATCATCTACAAGATGGATTTTTGCTATTTTCTCAATTACTTGTCTATAGGGTCCACCAAACCACCAGATTTTTTAAAAATAAATATTATCATAAACACAACCTTTCACAAACTATTTACTAAAGTGGGGCAGCACGGTGGCGCAACCAGTAGAGCCGCTGCCTCTCAGTGCGCAGGTCCCTGGTTCAAATCCCAGTCCGGGGACCTTTCTAGGTGGAGTTTGCATGTTCTCTCCGTGCATGCGTGGGTTTCCTCTGGGCACTCGGGTTTCCTCCCACAGACCAAAAACATGCATGTTAGGCTGATTGGTAACTCTAAATTGTCCCTAGGTGAGAGTGAGAGAGTGAATGGTTGTTTGTCTTGTTTGTCTCTATGTGGCCCTGTGATGGACAGGAGACCTGTACAGGGTGTACCCCACCCCTCGCACAGTGATTGCCGGACATGGGCAACGGCGACCCCCATGACCCAAAATGGAGGAAGCGGGTAAAAGATAACGGATGGATGGATGGATTTACTAAAGTGTTTTTTGTTCCACTTTGGCTATGCTGTCTCTATCCTGTTTTTCAGGTTTTCTCAAAACATTGGACAGATGATTATTAACATTTTACCAAAACGTTTGAATGAATGATGTAGTCAAAACCTGACGTATGTTTTAGTACTAATGTTTGTACTCACAGATTTCACACTTTAGCCCAAACTCCTTTGGGATTTTGTTCAAGCGAACCAAAGGCGTATATCCAACGTGGTCAAGGATGTTGGGGAGGATCGTTGGTGGTTTAATGCTGTGGTGAAGAAAAGATAAAATCACAACAAACATCAGTGTATGAAGACATCACCACATGGTCAGCATTATCTGAGGACTTATCTTCAGGTCTTTTAGCATATGCTTCAGAGAAAGCTGCTCCTTAGCAGCTTTATACAAGTTTAATTTTCACTATAAAATTCTGGCAAAAAAACTGCTGGTAAACTACTGTAAGTATGAAGTTTGAAATAAAATACCATGAAATGTTCTAGAGTTGTACTTGTTTTTTTACTGAAAAACTGTAAATGTTCCAGTTGACCACAGTGAGATGTTACACTTGTTGTTCAGAATCATTCAGCTTCACTTGATGACAGTAATTAACACAAATTCATTCTAGTTCCTTGATCAGTGTATCACTTAGCAGTAGCGCATTTTACTGTGTTTTCTTTGCTTTAATCAGCTGCCTCTAACCTGATTTAATTAAACTGATTTCATCACTCAGCAGTCTGGATCTTACCGTGGGGGGTGGCTGTGAGGTGACTCTGAAACCGGAGCTCCGGGTCTCCAGGTGCATCTGCTGGGCAGATCAGGGGGGATCCATTTAATCTCATCATCAGACCCCGCGTTCTTCAGATCACTTTCACCATGTTTTCCACAGTTATTCCTCGACTCGTCTTCAGCATTGAGTTGATTGTCTTTGCCACGTGTGCTTGACTCAAGGCCGCCAGTAAACATTTCAGCAACTTCATCCTGTTTGTTGGCGACATCTGCTTGGACCAGTTTGTCTTCATCAGTGCAAGTCTGACCATCTTTCAGACACCTACTGCCAGACACAGAGGGCATTGCTCACCTGTGGCAACATAAGACAATCACACATGAACACAAAACAAAGTGTTAAACTGTGTACATTTGTCTAAATGTTGCACAAAGTTCATCCATAGTGTACATCTTCTAAAAGTACTCATTTGTAGAAAGTGATCCTGACTTAATTGTAACATTTTGTTTTCACCGTGTGCTCCAGCCCTAAACTGCAGTTAACTACCGTAATCTAACAAGGTTGTCAGGTCCTCTGGACGGATTCTTTGTTGTGAAACGTTTCATCTTTTATCTAAAAGACTTCTTCAGTCTGAGGCCCTGCAACAAACTCAGTCTTATAAATAGCACCTTCTCATAGTGGATCAACCAGTTTGTTGTTGACACCCAGAACTAGCTGTTCACATGTAAAAAAAAAAAATGTAAACTAAATTAAAAAATTGATAACAGGGCGGAGGTATCCATGTTCAACTACCACCCTCTTACAATGCTGTTAATGCAAGTACAGTAGTCCCTCGCTACTTCGCGATTCAACTTTTGCGGACTCGCTCTTTCGTGGTTTTTCAAAGAGTGGACATGACACACAACTGGCTGATTAATGGATGAGCCGCACGATCGGTATGGATTTTTTATTTAAAATAAATTATTTAAAATGATTTACCTGTGTGCAGCCCACAGGTGCAGGAGAAGCTCCCTCATACAGCATATTGTGATCTCCGCTCTGCAGCAGAGAAGTGGGCGTGGCCAAGAGCGCTGGCAGATGGCAGAGATCATGACATGCTGTGCTCTTTTAGAGTGTTTAGAGTTTAAAACATTGTTTAGAATATTGCAAGAGTGTGGAAAGGGTTTAAAAACACCTTAAAACATATACAGTATATATATATATATATATATATATATATATATATACTAAAATAAAATACCACTTACTACATGTACTACTATTCTTCGCAGTTTTTCACTTATCGTGGGAGGGCTGAGAGCCCACACGATAAACGAAGGACTACTGTATTACTCAGCCCCCTTGTACGGTTTAAAATCTAGTTTTATTTATATATATATATATATATATATATATATATAAGTTATATAAGTTGCATGATTAAGAAAGTTAAAATAAATTATAAAGATAAAGTTGAGAGGGAACTGAGTAATGGCAATGCAAGAGATGCCTGGAGGGGACTGAACACAATAATGGGGAGGAAACAAAAAGATTCCCTTCAGCACACTGTGTAACGAACCCCGTATAATGGACCAAAATCACCACCACAAAAAATCAATTAAATAAAGTTTATTAACTGATGAAACGGCAGGGCGGACCTCGGCAAGCAGACACAGACTGTGAACCGGTTCCAGGTTCCAAACACCGATCCACACGAACAGTCTAAAGATGGAGAACGGTTAGTGGTTGTGCAGGTGACGAGAGTGAAGGCAAAGTCAGATGAAAAAAACAACCACTAACCGTCTCAGTGATGATGGGGGTTCCGAAGCGCTGAAGCGGGTCCAGCTGACCCGGATGGCTGCTGGAGGAGCTGGGTCTGGTGAGAGACGACAGTCGGCAGCAGCTGTAGCTTGCAGCGAGGTTTGCAGGATAATATGGTGTCTCCAGCACCGAGCGTGATCCAAAACAAGCGAGTGGTGGAGAGTGGAGCTGGTGGGGATGATCCGTGAGACGTGGTCGAGCAGGCGTGGGTCAGAACCGATGATCAGATGCCGAGATAATCCAAGGAGCAGACGAGAGACGAAGTCAGGAGGTCCGTGGGTCCAGAAGCCGGGAGGTCGAGCCGAGAGGAAGGGAACAGGAAACGACGGGAGGACAGAAACGAGTAAAACAGGAATACAAGGACTTGAGAGGACAGGACAGGGACAGAGCGTGGTCATGAGCGCGAGGTATTTACTAACTAAAAGTGTTCAACTACCGGGCACCGAAAAAGAGTCAGCCGTGAGCTTATAAAGGGAGAGGAGGACAGGTGCAGCCAGTTGAGCGCAATCAGCGCTGCTGGCTGCAGTGAAGACAACGTTAAACTAGGAGTGAAGACAAACCTCAACCCACATGCAGAGAAAGAGAAAAACAAAAGAATAGATCCCCAGAACAAAAACAAGTGAACAGAGTGACACAAAAACCTAACTGACAGACGTGATTCGTGACAGATCCCCCCCTCAAGGAACGCCTCCCGGCGTTCCACCAGGTTGCTCAGGATGCAGGCGATGGAAGTCCCGGATCAAGGGCTTATCCAGGACGTGACGGGAGGGCACCCAGGACCGCTCCTCCGGTCCGTACCCCTCCCAATCGATGAGGTACTGCAGGCCCCGACCCCGCCGTCTAGAACGGAGGAGCCGGCGGATGGTGTAAGCCGGTGAACCATCGATCAGACGGGCGGGAGGGGGGGAAGCAACAGGGGAATGAAAATGGGAGGAGGAGACAGGTTTGACACATGAAACATGAAAAGAGGGGTGGACACGTAAGGACTTGGGCAGAGTAAGACGAACAGACACGGGGTTAATGATCTTGGAGATGGGGAAAGGACCAATGAAGCGGGGGGCAAGTTTACGAGAAGCAACCTTCAGGGGAAGGTTCTTCGTGGAGAGCCACACCTTCTGACCCACAGCATACTCAGGTTGGGGGGTCCTATGGCGGTCCGCCTTTTTACAGTAGGCAGCACGTGACTTGAGCAAGGCGGTCTTGGCCCTCCTCCACACCCTCTGGCAACGGAGAGCGGCGAGGTGGGCCGAGGGAACAGATGCCTCCCTCTCCTGAACAGAGATAACAGGTGGTTGGAAACCAAAAACAGTGTAAAAAGGGGACAGACCAGTGGCAGATGAAGGGACGGAATTGAAGGCGTGCTCGATCCACGGGAGAGCAGAGCTCCACTTCTCGGGGTCGTTAAGACAGAGGAGCCTCAGTTTGCCCTCCACTTCCTGATTAGCCCTCTCAGTCTGACCGTCCGTCTCAGGGTGAAAACCCGAGGAGAGGCTAATAGAAATACCCAGAAGACCACAAAACTCTTTCCAGAAGTGGGAGACAAACTGAGGCCCCCGATCAGAAACAATGTCTACAGGCAACCCATGAAGCCTAAAAACCTCACGAGCCATGACGTGAGCCAGTTCTTTAGAGGACGGTAACTTAAGGAGGGGGACCAGATGAATCATTTTGGAGAAACGATCGACAATGGTGAGGATGACAGTGAAATTGTTAGAAGGTGGGAGACCAGTTACAAAGTCCATGCCAATATGAGACCAGGGACGCGAAGGGCAAGGAAGGGGGCGAAGAAGCCCCGATGGAGATCGTCTGGAGGTCTTGGACTGAGCACAGGCTGGACAAGACCGAACGTACAGGCGAACGTCCCTGGACATGGTCTCCCACCAAAATTGGGACCTGACAGTGAAAAGGGTCTTGGCGAAACCTGGGTGACAATACAGCAGGGAGTTGTGACAAAAATGAATGACCTGTTTAACCTTATCGGATGGAACATATAGACGATCAGGTGGACAGCTAGCTGGAGGAGGACGTGTCTGGCTGAGGTCTCTCAGGTCCTGCTCTAACTGGGTGATGGCCAGGCGGGCACTCTCAGGAAGGATAAAACTCTCTTCCTGAGCCGAGGGGAAATTATCCTCCTCCAAAATGCGAGACAGGGCATCGGGCTTAACATTTTTCTCCCCAGGTCGATAAGAGAGGGTGAAATTAAATCGAGAGAAAAACAAGGCCCACCTGGCCTGGCGAGGATTTAGGCGACGAGCGGACCTGAGATATTCCAGGTTCTTGTGGTCAGTCCATACCTGGAACGGGAACCTGGAACCCTCCAGCCAGTGACGCCACTCCTCCAGGGCGAGCTTAACAGCAAGCAGCTCCCTGTCCCCAACATCATAATTTCGTTCTGCCGGGGACAGGCTGCGGGAGAAGAAGGCGCATGGGTGAAGACGTCCATCCTTATTGCGCTGACTAAGAATAGCCCCCGCACCAGTGCTGGAAGCGTCCACCTCCACTACAAAAGGCTCCTCTGAATTGGGGGACTGCAGGATGGGAGCAGAAACAAAAAGTTTCTTAAGTTCGGTAAATGCGGTCTCTGCTGCAGTGGACCAGAAAAAACGAGACTTGGTAGAAGTGAGTTCATGAAGGGGTTTAGCGATGATACTGTAGCCTTTGATAAAACGTCTATAGAAATTGGCAAACCCCAAGAAACGTTGAAGCTGTTTGCGGTCCTTAGGAACGGGCCAATCCACCACAGCAGAGACCTTACTGGAATCCATCTCGACACTATTGGGGGACACAACAAAACCTAGGAATGAAGTTGAAGAGACATGAAATTCACATTTCTCAGCCTTGACATATAGTCCATTCTGTAACAGGCGGGCGAGAACAGATCTCACTTGTTTACGGTGTGAAATTATGTCTTTAGAAAACACAAGTATATCATCGAGATACACAAAAACAAATCTGCCGATCATGTCTCTTAGCACGTCATTCACCAAAGTCTGAAACACGGCCGGTGCGTTGGTTAAACCAAATGGCATTACCAAATACTCATAGTGCCCATCGGGGGTATTAAAAGCCGTCTTCCACTCGTCCCCCTCTCTGATGCGGACCAAGTGATAGGCATTCCTAAGGTCTAATTTGGTGAAGATGCTAGCCCCCTGGATAAGGTCAAAAGCAGTGGACATAAGGGGAAGAGGATATTTGTTCTTAACAGTAATTTTGTTAAGTCCTCTGAAATCTATGCAAGGACGCAGAGACCCGTCCTTCTTTTTAACAAAAAAGAACCCAGCACCGGCAGGAGAGGCGGAAGGGCGGATGATGCCAGATTTCAGGGACCCCTGAATGTACTCTCTCATGGTGGCTTGTTCTGGGGCTGAGAGAGAGTACAGAGCTCCTCTAGGAGGAGTAGACCCTGGAATAAGATCAATGCCACAGTCGTACGGACGGTGAGGAGGAAGCGAGGTGGCCTTAGTTTTATTAAAGACCTTCTTAAGGTCGTGATACTCTCGGGGCACATTAGATATATCTGAATCATAAGTCACATTATTATCTACTGTTTCTAC